CAGTGAGCTAGAATACATTTACCTTTTCAAATCAGAAATCTGAGTGTGTGCATCCAGCAATTTGTTCTCGGTTGTATTTAATGTATCCTAGGAAGGAATATAAAGGGAAAAATTCAGGTCACTGAAGATAAATCTTCTGGTGTACTCTTTTTATTCTAGAAGGTACTTAAAAAAGCAGAAAACAACAACAACTCATCTCAGGATGAAACAGCTAACTGTTCAGAAAGTTGTGCCGATACTTTGGCAAGCGATGCACCAAGCACAGAGCCACTCCAGATCTTTCCAGGGAAGCAATGAGAAGTGAAAGCTGGGCTACTCAAACAGCTCTGTGCCAGTGCCCCATAGCAACAGGCACGTCCCATTAGGCTTTCTTGAGTAGAAACAAGCCAGCATAAAAATGGACATACTAACCACACACGTGACTAAAACCTACATAGAATGGTTAAAAAAGAAAAACATCTCTGCAATACTAAGATTTCATGTACAATCTAGTTGCTTCCCAAACCCCCAAATTCTTGGCTGCCTGATTGTGGAGGGCCTGTCACTAAACTTCAATGTCCACAATCCGGAATATTATAAAATGCAATGACCTGCCCCACTTGCAGGTTAGGACAGGGTTTCACTGAGTTCAAACACACACTCCTCATACAGAGCTTTGCTAAAGAGCCCACGCATACTCCACCAACGCAAATATATAACCCCACAAAAATAGGGTGTTTTGGCAATCAAGCTTCACATTTAAGTACGATTAAATAGTAGTTTGCATCTGCATACTGCCTTGACTCCTCCGAGACTTCATCTCAATTCAGGCTTCTGGAATGCAGCACTCGAGAGAGACTTGTTAAATGAAGCTGACACCCGTGTGAGTTGCACAGGGCAAGTACTTTAAGACAAGGATGCTGGCAGAATGGTTTTGTAAATGGTCTAGTTCACAGAGCTGGACGAGGATGATGGAGGAGGAGAGTCACATCTCTTAGTTTCCAACCCAGGGCTTCGGCCCCAACATGACAATCAGACAAGAGTGGTCAAGCATTACCTTCACTCTCTTGTGCTCTTTCCCAAGGGATTCATACTCTCCTAAAAGCTAGAAGAAAAAACAAAGAATTACATCTCAATATTACACACTGTAATATCCATGGAAAAGCAGTGTGCAAAATGACTGCCCATACTCTACAAAAAAAGTCAGAAGACAGAGGCAGATTAAGAAATGGACCCAGAAACGATGATGGCAGCATATGTGCAAATGTGCTTGACACATGGACGAATGTATGGATTGTGATGGGATATAAGAGCCCCCAATAAAAGTATTTAATAAAAATTTTAAAAAGAAATGGACCCAGATTACGGTCACTAGAGACATGACCACTGATTATAAGGCATGGGCCTGGACTGGTTCTTGAATGGGGAAAAAAACAATGTACAGTGGAGGGTACCATGGAGACATCGGGAACAGGTGGAACATGGCATTGCATCATTGCTTTATTTCAATCATAGTACTGTGGTTAGGTACAAGGAGGCCCTTGTGCGTAGGAAGTATGGGAAGTATGCACTCAGAATTTAGTGGTAAAGTGGGGTCTGATGCCTACAACCTTCAGATGGTTCAAAAAAAAGCAAAAAA